CTACAAAAATAAGTGAATGAGGAGGGAAAAACTAAGAGTATAGAATAATGAGGTGTCACATGGCCTATGTCACATGATTAGCAGGCTTTATGTCACTTCTCACAGGCTTTGTCCCTAGCCCATATACAGCCCTGGGTGAAGGTTTAGAGTACTTCACTCTCAGGCAGGAGCTGAAGAAGTGCAGTTCCTTCTCAAGAGATCAGTGGCTACTACTTCCCTGCCTCTTGGCTGCAATGAAGTGTCAAGATGAGCGAGCACAAGCGAGGCTGAGCCTAGGCAGTCTTGGTAACTGCAGTGAAGAATGTCAACACATGGGGCTTGGGGTGCTTTGAGCTGGGCTAAGGCAAGGTCTGCAAATAGCTTACATCATGATCAAAACTTAAGCCAATGAGCACCTGCAATGTACAGCTCCAGGACGCTCTGAAGGTGGCGCAAGCCCATGTGGGGAACAGCAGGGACAGTCACAGGACAAGGACTGCATTCCTGTCCTCCCACAGCCCTCTCTCAGCCTCTTTCCTTCTGTGCCGACTGTGACCGTGGATGTTTATTTGAAAGGGGAAAATAGCAACCTAAGAGTAAAAGGCAGATGACCCATCATTTAAATCCTGACCATCAACAAGATGGCTATCACCACAGCTAATAATCATACCCCTTAGTAAATGGAGAAGGGAGAGGCATTCTTCTCTTCAAATATTCTAGAAGAGAACTCAGAAGTCACGCCAAACTATATCAACCCAATGCTTCATGGGACCAGCATCGTATCTAGTCCTTAATGACTACTTCCAAAGCAGCTTATGAATGTGTGTGCTAATTGTCTTTCTTGATGTCAAGTCTTACCTTGGAATGACCTCGTATCAGCTGGGGTGTGCATGTGTGTATGCATTTGCATGTGTGTAGGCCAGAAGATAACCTTGGATGCTGTTCTACACAATACCATCTACTTTGTTTTTGAGACAAGGTCTCTCACTGGCTAGTCAGTAAGCTAAGCTGCCCAACCAGCAAGCCTCAAAGATCCACCAGTCTCCACCACTCAAATACTGCACTTAGACAGTCAAATGTGCCATTACACCGTTCTTGTTTTATTTTGTTTTGTTTTAACATATGTTAAGGGTTTTGAACTGAGGCCCTTTTCGAGCACGACAAGCACTTTACCAATAGAGCATCAGCTCTTTAATGTTACAAATTACCAAATTCAGTTAGACTTGTCCTTTCTTTATCAAATTCAACTAACTTTTAACTTGGTCAGTTATCGCCAACAGAGAGAGATCCAGGGAAGTAGCTTGATGACCATTAAACTCAGAGCATATCAGAGAGAAAATGATAAAGTGATCATACACTGTGGGCATATGCCCTCTGCTCAATGACTGCTTGAGAAAGAGATAATATTCACAAATAACTTTAAAATGTCAACAGTGATGCAAGAACTTTTAAAGATGAATGTCATAATTTGTCAGGAAGTAACTAGAGATTAACACTACATACTCCCTAATCTAGGCAACCCTATCCTAGATAGCACTCTTTTTAGGATCTTGTCCATTATCACCATCAAAATAATAAACAGAAAAGTTAAATTTTCTGTTAAAACTGTTGCCAATTATCTTGAACCTTAACTATTTTTTTTAACTGATGGCCATCTGTTAAAATGCTAAATATTTTATAGCGCTACCTTGTTTCTATGCACTTAAATAGAGAGGATCTTATTTTCCTTCCTAACATCTTATGAAACAGAAAGAGCCTAGTGTCAAGTGTCCATCTGGCTAAGTATGAGAACGCACGCAGATTGGGGACCTGGTTCTCAGGGCTGCACAGCTGACCAATGACAGCATCAACAGTCAATCTTCTCCCTTCAACTCATTCACAACATTGGGCAATAGTTCCTAGATTACTGTGCTCAAATAAAATGTCAAATACTCCAGAGAGGGCGAGAGCAATGGCTCAGCAGTGATGAGCACTGCTGCTCTCCAGAGGACATAGGTTCATTTCCCAGCACCCATCTGTAACTCTGGTTCTAGGAAATCCAGTGTTCTCTCCTGGCTTCCAGAGGCACCAGCGTGCATTCAGTGAGTGTAGACACACGTTCAGAGAACATGTTCGCACACATAAAATAAAAACAATTAAAAAATATGTCCAAAGCCCCACACAGGGTGGCCACATTCACTGCTCTTTAAGTAAATACATCAAACTTGTGTCTACTGCTACTATCATGTCACTAAACTGTCCGTGTTTATCTGACCTTATAACACAAAACTGTCATTTAGACAAAATGCCATTCTTAAATTGATAGAATATGCATTTTGGGAAGCCTTTATATTCTCCTTATGTTCTAACTTTTTCAGAACCCCTCTAAGTGTGGTGCTAACTCCAGACTAAGGCAGTTCTTGGGCAGCATACCCTCCTGGGTACTGCTTTAAAGGTCAGTTAGCTCTGCCCCTCCCCCTTGCATTTCATCATTTTGAAACCACTGAGTGCTGAGTTTTTCCTCTTGTAAGTGGGGAAGCTCAGTGGTAGAGTACTTGGCTACCATGCATCAGAGTCCGGATTTTATCTTCAACATTATTTTTAAAATCTGGGATAGAGAGAGGGGGAAGACCTGAGTTGGAAAGAATGCTTGTCTAGTATGCACAAAGCTTTGAGTTCTGTCTCAAGCACTACATTTCTGGTATGGTGTGTAGCTGCGACCCTTGAGAAGTGGAGGCAAGAAGGATCCCAAGTTCAAGGCTATTCTTAGCTTAAGAGTGAGTTTTAGGTCAGCCTGGACTCTATGAGACCCTCTCTGAAAAACTGCTCTATTCCCTTTCATATGTTGTTCTTCTACTGTCTACAGTGAAATGATGAGATTTAATATTCATATATGGTCAGGACACAAAGCTGTTGACATGAGTACAGTGAGCACTGGCAGGGACTCAGGAAACATACGTGACACAGTACCTACCACGGTGGATTGTAAAAGTAGGCAAGTTACTTCTTTCCCACTCCACCTTCAAACTTATTCAAGCAAATGCATAAGTAAGCCGATGCTTGTCCAAACACAGGCTGGGCACATCTGTCCTAATTCTCATTTGTGTTCCTCCTCTCGGACCTAATTCTGTAGTCTGCCCAAAAAGCCCAAACTTTGTGACATACACACATTTGATTTTATAGCCCGCCACTGTCCTCTCAGCACTGTGCTCCTCGTACATCAGAAGGAATAACTAGCAGCTCTGATACTGTCTTACAACCACGGTCGGTGCACGGTCTTCTCATAAGGGCCAGATTCTTTGATGATCCTTCAGTTTGGGGAAAGGGCCACATGGATAGTGAAGTGAGAGGCTGAGATAGCCACCGAAGGCCCAGCCAATCAAGACCCTGAGGTCACTGGCACAGGAAGACTATCTACACATTCAAGCCCAAGCCAAGCCCATGGAGTTCATCGATGGAGGCTTGACAAGAAGGGCCCTTCTTTAATCAATGTAAAGTTCAGTACAGACAGTACCACAGCTGCCAAGAACTGTCCAAATAGTACACCCTCTTTCTAGTCCTTTAAAACATACAAATTTCACACACAACAAAAAATACTTTTTATAAGATAATCATGTATCTATCATCAAATGGCCACACAATAACAATACATACATTTCTACATGTATTTTATAGCATATAAAATACTTTAACATAAATATGCTATATCTTAAGACTTCTGAGATGTGTGTTTTACTTCTATTTTATTGAAGAATGAAGAGGCTCAGGGAAGTGAAATGATTCTCTCGGCGTCAGAGAAATAAGAGAATTGGAAGGTGGCTCCTTCCATTGTTCATTTATCTCCCCAGAGTTTTCTCTAAGGGTGAGCTCCAAACCAAAGGGGCCCTGTCAGGACAGACAGTCCGCTTGTCAATAACTTCAGGAAAGCATCAGTGAACAGTGGTAAAAGCTGGGAGCATGGTGGTCTTCTTCAGCTTCCTCAGCATTAATGAACGCACAGTCTTCTTCCTAGGTTCCTTAGAATGCAGCACAAACCAACCGATCCAAGGTAGCCGAGGAGCAGGGCAGGCGCACTGGTCACTCATAAAAGCCACTACTTGCAAACACTTTCATTACACTCACTCTGCAGACAGCAGATGTTTTGGTAATGCTACATTTTTTTTTTTTGCAGGAAAATTCTGTTAGTCACATATTTTTGTGGTTTATACACTGGGCAAGAACAATTTAAAATATGCAAAAGACATAATTTATAGTTTAGAAAACAAAAGGTATAGTTGAAAAATAAAGAACTCATAAAAGCCTAAGTATTAATGATGCTTGTTGTTTAAAAACACTGCATAAAATACACGCACACTTACTCTATAAAATACACACACACACACACACACACACACCTGTCTATTTTTAATAGACTGGCCTTAGGAAAATTAGGATGATCTTCTTTGCGATATGACTACTGTTAGTTCAGCCTAAAAGTTTGACTGCATGTAGTTTAAGTACATAATCATGAATATTAACTTTGTTGTTCTATAGATATTTTCATATGTGGCCAGAGGTTCTGTTTGTGGCTTTTATAAAATAGAGTCATTACAGGGGCCATTTCCAACACTGAGAAAAACAAGGGAAGTAAACTAGGTGTTGTTACATCTTTGTCCTAGGCTCCTATCATTCAGAATGATTAAAATGTTAATTTTTACACATGTGACTAAAACCCAAGCCACAAACAAGGGAGACTCTCCATCATTGCGGGTGGGTAAACTGACAAGTGTAACTGCACATTAAGACAAATGTAGAATTTAGACAAAGTATCCAGTCTGCTTTCAGATGTAGACTTTCAAACCTCAGGAAGGTTTTCAGTAGATGTCATGCCTTTTAACTTGAAAAAAGATAAGCGCAAATAAGCTCCCAATTGTCTCCCCAATATGTAAACCACATCTCGGGCTGCTGTCTCTGCTGCTCCTTTGAAGTTCTGCTGAAATGTCATGTGTTGTGAAGACTGCTGTGCATAAGCAAGACAATTTGCTCACTTTCAGAATTCTTACCGGTCTCCACTGCTATCTGGTATCCAGCCTCTAGTCTCCGAGATGACCTTTCCAGCCTCTCCGTGTTATCCAGCAGATGTGCCCTCTGAAAGGAAGGGGGAGTCAGGAGGATGGCTACAATGTTCTTTTTTGCCTTTTTAAAATATAATGCCTTTGTATGTCTTAACACTAGGGTGTGGAGGGTGTCTACAACCCATTACAGTTAAATTTTAGCACACAGTTCTTCAGAGGAAACATAACAATAGATAGATTTCCAATCAAACATGAGTGGACCATCCACTTATTCGATTTTTGTTGTTTCTTGCTTGTTGGTTGGTTTTGTTGTTTCTCCTTTTTTTTTAAAGGGATCCCATATTGTGAGTAGATAAACAAATCTTAATCCGCAACACAGAGAAATGCATGAAGACCAGAGCCAACTGGATCTTTCCTATTTTAACATAGAGGAGACACACGCACAGTGATCCTTCTCTGTGTTTAGTTTTATAAAATGCAGTCATTTCCAACATTTATTTGGTCCTTTGGCTTTTGCAGATCATAATTTCTAAACAGGAACTTTTTATTTTTAAGAGAATGTTTCTTATTTTGGATGTGTAGCAAAATGACACACGGAACAACAGTGCTACTGAAACAGAATATTAAACAGCACTGTTAGCTCAAAGACAACACAGGACAACCAGCAAGGCACAGGGAACACATGGGATTTACATGGAGGTGCATAACTGCCAATGAATCTCCAAACATATGATGCTGGGATTAAAGTGAACTACTAGCACATAGTATTTTGGACTATGAACTAAAATTAGAATCAACTCTTAGAAATAAAATTATACACAGCTCTCTTATATTACATCTGATGGGGAAATTAGAACACTTCTCTAATATTCTAGACTTCCCTTTCTGCACTGAGACCCTATAAGTGTTTTTGATCCCACAACAGGATCCCACGATATTCAGGTTACCAAACATATTCCTAGGTTAGCCATGTCAATGGATGGCATATGCATGTGGCACACATGTACAGATGTTGAGATACTTAGAAATATATGAATATGTGTGCCTGTATATTTGGAGGTGGGGCTGCTTAAGTATTTGTATAAATTAGTATCGTTTGCCCTCAAAGCAATGTTGGTCAAAGAGAAAGGAACATGCAACCACAACTCTACAACTTTGTGTTGTTGACAGATGTCACTTAAAATTGAAGCAATGCTTCCCGATAATAATAAAAAAGGAGGTGCCACATGCATTATCTGAGTGGCTGCCGAGTGAAATGATGTACCTTGCTCTAATGAGCCCCCATGGATCTTGGAGATGCAAGCTGTATTGACATGCACACTTAAGCTAATACACCTAGACCAGTGCCTCCAAGCTCCAGCAGCCAGGGATGCTGACAGAATATCTCGCTTCCATCTTCAAAGAAAGGAAGTGATTAGTATGTTATCATTACCATTCAAAACGTGATTTCCTTATTCCCTCCCGGCATAGGTGACACATCTGAGATGCGGCCAGACGTTAGAGGCAGCTAAAGCCACATCAAAGCTTTCCTTGAAAAATTTTTTGGGGGAAGGGTGGGGGAATCATTAAAACAATGCTTTTAGAACAGAGAGAAAGGACCTGATGTGAAGGTCAGGAAGCGGCAAGAGCAGCCCATAATAATTAATAGAGATGTCTCATATACAGTGCAGAAATTAAGAGAAATATTGCTCCTCCTTCTGGAAAATAAATTAAATAAATAAAACAGAGGAAGGAAGTAAAAATAAACTTCTTATGTCGCAAGAAAAGCAAAATTATGGAAGAAGAGCAGTGGTTATCCCTGTGCGTGCCAGGACGATTTCTAAATGAGACCTAACACTAGTACAGCTTGCCAGAAACTGTGCCTCTAAGTCTGATGCTCCTTCCATGCAGGTTTTGGGAGTGAAGACTGCTTTTCTCTCCTCTCAAGATTGTTTTCTACCTAAACAAAGGACATCAAACTGATAATTCTCTAAAAAACATCAATCCAATCTTAGAAAGCAAGAGTAATTCTGAATTTTAATCCAGACAAAGGACATTTTGGGCTTGTTTTCGTGTTGTATGAAATCCTAAATTCAAAGAAGGTATTTTGCTTAATAGAGATTTAAAAAAAAAATCATGCACCATACTGAAATTGGATCTTTCTCTATGTTAATAATATGATGGAAAAATTAAAGCATGCTACACAGGTGAATAAGGTATTTTAAATAAGAAACAATTTGGGGGATTCTAGACCTAAACAGGGAAACAAAATGTCACAATGGGCATTAAACACTGCACACTCTGTGCTAAGCAGTGGAAGTAACTGCTTCTTCCAGAGTGTTTCATTTTCTCAGAGAAAATCTGCACCCAAGAGGATGATCAGCTTACGGGCAGCTTCCCAGCAGGGTATCCCTTCACATTTTGAAACTTCTCCACTAAAGTCAAACTAAAATCAAGTTCTCGTCACAGCTGCGCTATTTACATTGTTCCCTCAGCTGTGTGCTGCCGTCCGTCCTTTAAATGAAAGACGATGCACTACAGTGGCGCACACAGGCTTTCAACCTGCCCGCTCGCTCCATCCCAAACTCCTTCTCTCACCCTCTTCTTGGCCCTTTTCAAAGGAGGTGAGTGAAGCTGCACAGGAGCTTCAGACGGAGCTCAGCTTGTGTGAGGGGCTGTGCAGAGTAGAAAGACGGGGCTGCAGGATTCCAACAGCTCGGCACAGCCAACACCAGAGCAGCTCTCTCTGCGCTACAACCCTGCCTCTAAGCAGACCCTAAAGAGAGCATTCCAAGGAAGGACAGGAACACTCAATTTCCAAACACAACAAAACACAGTGTCTTAGAATAGATACGTTCTTGTCTTTTTAAAAGAGGTACATGTAACATTCACTGTATGAGTCTGAACAGATCCTGACTGGGAGAAGAGCCCTCTGAGCTATCCAAATGCAAGTTCAGTCTGCATCACAAAATCCATAAACACTAGTACTACACCCAAGTCAGAGACACAGATAATCCAATTCCTGAAATTATCAGTCTATCGCCAAATGACAGTAATTCTAATACAGTGCAGCTTCAGAAGCATCAACTACTGCACTGAAACTGGTACAACTGCTAAGAAAGAAGACTAAGAGAAAAGATGGAGCAACAATACATGACACAGGATATGGGGATATGATTTCCAGCTTTTTGCATGAAGAATTCCTCGGATCCTGTACCACAGCAGAACAATGGGACCAAAATTGCCATGGTTATTATAACACACAGGAATTTATCTATCAAAACTCTGCAAATTCATGTATGAGAGCTTTGTGGAGTTTCTTTGCATGCAGTGTGTGTGTGTGTGTGTGTGTGTGTGTGTGTGTGTGTGTGTATGAGTACATTCAACTTTATTGTTCATTTCGTCAACATCTGGACATTCAAGTTCCTCTGCAAAGGGTAAGGATCTCTAAATACACAGGACAGACAGACACACCTCCCAGGAACAGTAATGTTTGTCATTACTCATTCAGAGAGTAATCAATACTGTGACAAATTACACTCATTTAGTATATGCACATATACTTATACTTTGATGTTGGAAAAGAAAAAAACAAACAAAATATGAGAGGCTATTGGTGTGTTCTTTCTTCAGCTTATATGCCATTATCACTTTTGCTGAGCTAAAGTCACTCCTGCAGAAGAGTTATTCAAACCACTGTCTACAAGCCTCGGGATCAACACCCCAAACACTCAACAGAATAGCTGTCCACCATGGAGGCCATCTAGGAAAGCTGTAGTCAATATGCTCAACCAAACGTAGAAGTAATTCAAACTACTCAGGCTGCAGTGAGCAAGAGGTCTGTTTTAACAGTAATATAGTCTTCTGTGTGGTGTCCTTGTGAAAAAAACCAAACTCAATGTTACTGAGTAAGATGTAATTATCTCTGAAAAAGTGAATCAAAGCATTTGTGGTGTGTCTGGACTTTGTGGAAAACAACAACAAACAGAATCACTTAGCCACTGTCACTGGTGCTGTGCAGGGACTCATCAGGCCACAGAAGACTCTGGAGCAGCGCAGTGCAACTGACTAACTCAGGAAAAGGAGAACACATCTAGGGGCCATTTCCTACAGGAAGGAAAATGCTTAACGGGGAAGCAAGCTTTCCTGCTCTAGGGTGTTCTTGTACCAGAGCAAGGGCGTTTACAATGTGTATGTGTTTCCCCATGGTGTTTTATACGGAACCCTGGAATCTAGCAAGTGGAGGGAGTTTTCAGTAAAATAAATCAGGATCAGGGGAAAAAAATGAAGTCATACTCACTTCATTGAGAAACCAACACAAATAAAAGAAACATGAAGTTAAAGCTCACACAATAACACAGCTCTGTACAGTTTTAGGACAAGCCTGCCTTGTTCCTCCATTTTTTGCTTTTTGGCTTTAAAAGATTAACTATCTTTCAGTGTCAACAAGGAACAGTGCCCCTACAACAACTAGAAACAGTTCTGAGAAGATGGTCAGAGGAGAAGACTTCTGAAGTCATAAAGTCAATAGTTTTGTCAAGTGTACATTTCCCTGGAAAAAAAAGTAATACAAGACCCCTCAGGTTTAGAAAATAAAATTTACAAGAAACAGCAAAACTAAGGAGGGAAAAGAAGCAAGCAAAAAAATCCTTACCTCTTCACGTAATTTTATCAACTGCACCATGAATGCACACACACAAAAGGAAGATAAAAAGGGGAGAAATGGCAGGAGAGAAAGATCAGTTGTGTGACAGGATACAGAATTAACATTGACAATTCATCTGTTTACATGTTTAGCATTTAAAAATCACAGACAAACACATTAAAAGAGCCCAAGCACAGACTACATGCGGAGGTTTTTGAACAAATAAAGATCACTTTCTCATACTGTCACATTAAACAAAGAGAATAGTGTGAAATTCTCTTTTAAAGTACATCTAAGAACCATCATGAAATAAAGGGGAACGACTTCACAGAAGTCTATATTATAAAAAAAGAAAACAAGTTTACTGCGTCTCTCTTCTAAGAACGCGCCATTAGAGAGCATTTGTATATACAAGGTTTCAGGACATTTCTCTACTCAGGGCCTTGACA